CTATAGATTTTCGTGATTGTTACACACAAAATTATTCTTATAGGACTATACATATATTTGATCTACATAGTACACTGAACACCCCATCGTTACGTTAGGAATATTTGAAGTACAGTACATGATATTTCTTTTTTTGGCTTTGTGTTACCAGCACAAATAAAGTCGTATGTATTTCTTTGTTAACGTTAAAAATTTGCCCATATCGATATTGATTTTCTTTAAAACAATATAAATGAGCGAAGATATTCGAGTTGTAGTTGCCATTGGTAATGGAGGTTTTCCGAACCTAATATAGGATTTAGTTTTTCTTTCACGTAATTGCTAATAATAATAATTTAAATGTCTCAGATTTCGGTACAACTTATTCTGGTAAAAATTAATAAACAAGATGTCCTCTCTCTAATAGATGGGTTAAATGTAGTTCATAATTTTTAGTTACGTGAATAGTTCGTTTTCCTTTAGAAGATTCAGATGTTTCAGACATTTCATCATGAGACAAATTTTTTTCATTACTTAAAATATCTTTAATAAATCCCACGTCAAATTAATTCTGAATTCCTTGCTTGACATATTCAAGTTAGTAACTTTAAGATACAAGAGTATACAATTTTACAAGCATTGTATCCAATATCCAGAAAAACAAGGGAAGCCATGTACGTTTGACTGTCAACTAACATCCACGTAGCTGGTCAGCGATATCTACTCCACCCATGTTGTAATTATAATCATCAATTATTCGCAGAATTTCTAATTCCTTCCTGCTTGAATCTTCAAAAATTTGACGAACTGTGTTTGCATTAGAACTAGTTTCACATAGTCGTCGCCGATTACGAACAACTTTCTATTCATCACCCAAAATTGTGAATAGTAGTAAGCAAAGTTATCAGTCCATTATCGATCCAGAGAACGGCTAAAACATCATCGACTACCTTTCCCAAAAGGGTGTTCCAATCTAAAGTATCTCTTTGACAGCTTTTAATTCTTTTGGAAAACCTACTGAATTAGTGCGAACGGTGCCACAAGCCCCGATACTATTATTATGTAGATATACAAATTACTCAAAAGTTAATTCTTTATGTTCGGTTATGATTTTGATTTTATTTTACTAATTTTATTTGTATTGCACACAATACAGTATTAAACTATTTACGATTTAAATGACTAATTTACATTATTCCAAATTTTTATTCGAATCTTTTGCATTCCTTTTTCTGCCTGGAATTATACTCCTTGGCCTAAATTATATATACGTTAATTTTGCTATATAAAATTTAAAATTTAGAATAAAATACGCATTAATGCGCATGATTGAGGAATCATCGCATACATGAAATTCATCTCTAAACCCAACCTTATATTATGTGTACCAGAATAGCAAGTAAGTTTTGCAACAGAATTTTTTACAGTAACTCATGATAAAAATTATGAATTCTAATACAAACTAACTCCTTCAATGCCAACCTTAGGCATAACTCCAGGCAAAATCAAATTTTATTTTCAAGCAAAAGCATAATTTCAGGAAAATTAAGGATAACTAGGGTTGTTAACTTACATGTAAATTTACCGTATTTTACCAATAGAAAGTTTACTGTAACTGACGTAAATTACTTGTAAGTTATGTGAGTTGATCAACAAATGTTATATGTCATATTATATTTGTATCAAAGTAACTTAAACCTATTGAAATTCGATCTGACGCAAGTTGATGTTAATGCTGGTAAAGATTGCCACATGATTTGGCTAGCTTTAAAGCTATATTGTAACTTACAAATGGGCCGGGTAAGTTACAGTAAATTACAGTGTAATTTACGTGTAAAGTAAGTTGTCAGTTATGCTTTAACAACCCTAGGCATAACTTAAGGCAAAATCAAAATATAATTTAAAGCAAAATTAAGTATAATTCCGGGCAAATTGTCAGAACGTAATTTTACATATATTAATAGAATTAATTTTAATAAAAAAAAACATTCCTAATTTTATTAGATAAATAACTATGGCCTTTTTGGAAATTTTATACTCCAGAAGAGTACTCTATCAATTTTGTGATATAACATTTCGCATTTTTCGCTTTACAAAAAAATTTAGCGAAATCGCGTTTTACAAATTTAGATGCGTTATGTATTTCATAGAGCTAAAAATAATACAAGCCAAAATAGTGATAAATAATTATTATAAAAAAAGCATTGCTAAACATACTAAACACATCACATCTTCAATTGTAATGTAATTTACAGTATATGTAACGTAACAGTAAAATCTATTAATGTAATACAATTCTAAGAGTAATACGTAAAGTGCTGAGGGCATCCGTTTCGGAAACAAACAAAAAGAAAAAGTAATACGTAAATTAAAGTGCGTGTATTACACGATTACATTGTACAAGAGAAATTTTCGCATCACATCATTTCTCCCAAATACAATATAGCTAAATTTAATTTCTCCTTTAACCGTAGTTTACGGTAATGTTATGAAAATAATATTTATTTCGTCAAGTGGTCATTTAGCTTCAATAAATATTTTTAGTCCAATAATCTAATGTCCAATATCTATATCCAATGTGTAATTTATCGTTATGGTTTTTAATACTTATTTTTCTTACCTCGATGTTTGTATACACTGAAAATACAACACTCTATAATCCAAGTGGGAGAATAGAATTTATGTCCGAACTTGTATCTGATAAGATTTATTATTATGGTGGACATATAATTGGGGCCAACGATCTCAATGATTTTTTTTATATTGACCTGACGCAGCCATTTTCAGGCTTTTCTCCTCCATATCAATTTATAAAAAATTTAGACATAAGGGGTGGAGCAATTAGTGTTTCTCATACAAATAAAATATATGTTTTTGGAGGGTTTGATAACAACGGCACACCTCCCATTGACCTTTTTATAAATCAATCACTTACAACGGATCCAGTAACTATATATATCCAAGACACTATTTCAACACCATCTTCAAGAAAATGGCATGCTTCTGTGATTGATCATACGAATGAAAAAATATATGTTTGGGGAGGAATTCAGAATTTGAGTACCGTTTATACAAATTATAGGTTTGTGCAGGATGACAGAACTATGTATATATTTGATATTTCGCAATACGTTTGGACTTCAAATCCGATGCCTAACCAACCTAATGGCCGTCAACTTCACACAGCAACTTTGATGCCTGATGGATGGATAATTATGATCAGTGGTGCTTTTAGCTCGGATGTAGGACAGGTGAGTAATAAATAAATTTTAATTAACTGGAAATGGGTTCGGTCAATCAGAGCTTATTTTTCATGGATCAAGTATTATAGTAATATATTAATCAAAGCATTCTTATTTGCAATGTTTGAGCTTGACGTATATGACACAAAGACGAGTCAATGGATAAATATTGTATGTTCATAGGTTGTTTCATGTTTTATACGTTCCTGTTACAGTAAATATTCAATTTCTAACAAGTACATTGTATTTACAATTTACAGACAGCAACAAAGAATGGTTACATTCCTTCAATTATTTCTCATTCAGCAACTCTCTTGCCTGATAACCAGAATATATTGATATATGGAAGTAGCGATGCAGCTGGATACTCTGGTCTAGCAGTTCTGAATACCTCAAACTATGTGTGGACAGTTATTTTGCCAACTGGAAATATACCATCCATAATCTCAAATGGACATAAAGCTACACTCTATTTTGACATCATAATTTTTGCATTTGGTGAGTAATCTAGAGCTAGTTTATTCTCTGAAATTATCATAAATTGATTTCATTCCTGAATTTATCTAGGACAATACACTCTTAATAACAAACATTATTTGATGAATTCTGAAATAAGAATTCTCAACATTTCAAATGGTCAATATAGATGGGTTGAAAACGCGAAAAAGATTCTTGATGAGCAGATCGAGCAGAATAGTAAAATTTCAAATGAAAAAGAACAATTAAAA